TTATTTATTATTATTATTTATTTATAGAAAAATAAATAATATCATTATTTATAAAAAGAATAATATTATTATTTATTTATAAAAAGAATTTCTTTATTTACGATACATTTATCGCATGTTATGTTAAAGGAAATATATATAAATAGCACCCCTATTACTTTTTTATTATATTATTGTATTATTATTTAATAAAATTTTATTTATAAAAAGAATCAAATTTTCTTCATAAATAAAATTTTATTAAATATTATTTATTTATAAAAAATTTGGATCAAATAAAATAAATTTAAAAATAATAAAGAAAATGACGAATAAAATGACAGTAATATTGAAATACATCGTGCATATGTATTAAGTTAGATCGGGGGAAAAGGAGGGGGAATAAAAACTGGTTCAGAAGTTTCTTAAACGTAATCGGAGCTTCCGTTAACCGAGTTTCCGAGTTGCTGCTGCATTATTTCGTAATTTTCACGAGAAACGTATATACATATGTATATAATTATTCTATGGATCACGGGCACGTGTTTTTCAATGAAATTCCAGCACGTTCAGCTGAAGGGGAGAACTTTCTCTCTGGACAGCACGGTTGAAATTGCAAGTAAATTTTTATCGCTTCGTGACAATTTCCTGTTCCGGCAAATAGCGTTAGCAGCAAAAACCCGTTTCATCGTTTATCGCTCAACGCTTCCCCGTTTTTCAACTCTGTTATCCCATGTTACGTCCGTAATAAAAATACTCGAAAGGCGAAAACTACTTAAATTAAATTCAGCTCCTTCCAATGTGTACATTGCAATACAATTGCTCCCGCGTGTCCAGGGTAACCATATAAAACCGAATAAAACACTTAGGAAGCAATTTCCAAGCAGATTAAATAAAACCAGACCCTTGTGTGAACGTAATACACGGAAAATATCATCGAACTATTTTTCGTGCGATATATATTTCGAGCAAGTTTGAAAACGGTTGAATTAAAGACACAAAATATATATTTCTGTACGTAAAATCACTACACTTACAAGTTGAGATAATACACCATCGTTGGTTTCATGACGCAAAATTCTTCTTTTTTTTTCAAATAAACAGTCACGACGTCGTTAAAAATTGAACTGAAGCAATATTGCAGGTTTCCCGTGAGCATTATTGATACCGGATATTCTAGATAAAAATCTGCGCTCTAAAATCACGTAAGCTATCGATCGTAAGCTATCCACCAACTTCTACAGAGGAATGCATACAGCCTTTTGTGAAGCGTTCGCGGATTTATTTCTATTTGCCCGTGTAACTTCTCGTTATTTCTCTCTGCTTGAGATATTTTATTTTATCATACTTTTTATGAAACTATACAAATTTTCAAATTAATGCTACCATTCGAACGGAGTTCGATATATAAAGCGCGTCATTTGATTTTAGTGCAACTACGATGCATTTAAAAAAATAAAAATTATGTTTCATTAAATTATTTTTTTCCTAAATATATTTCAAATTACAAATTTTAATATACATCTTAATTTTTTCTCTTTTATAAAGTTGATCGATCGAATTATTTTTATCTATATAATTATTTCTTTGCGCGGTACATTAATATTTAAAAGAAAAAATTATATAAATATAAAAATATATAAATATATAAATGTATATATTTATGTATATTTATAAAAATATTAAAATATATAAATTATTAAAAATATATAAATATATAAATGTAAATATATAAATATAAATATATAAATATATGTATATCGATAGATCGCATATCATGATACTTGAAGCCTCATGGAAGATCAATCACGACGCTAAACCTTTTTTGTCAAATTAATTGGAAAAACATGGCCCATTTAATTGATACTCGGGAAACGAATTTCGATTCAGCGGCAAGCGACGAAAGCCTGGTTTATATCTCTATATTTTTTCGCCTATATTGGCGCGTACAAGCACCTTTCAAAAAGCAATAAAAAAAATTTTTTTTCACGAGACTTTAATGCAATCATCACATCAGCATCTCGCTGTCATATCTCGCGATTATTGAAAATTTTCTTAAAATTAAATTAAATTAAATTTTCTTGAAATACTTAATTTAAATTAAAATATCTTGATTTAAATTAAATTATTATTTTAATTTAAATTAAATTATTACTTTAAATTGAATTAAATTTTTTAGAATATTTAAATACGAAATTATTTAAAATGCTGTCGTTCTACTTAAAGATTCTTGGATCTTTGAGCCTGATCGATACGTCGCGATGAAAGGAGAGGAAATGTCACGGCGATGCGCACGTTCCTTTAACATGACAGACAATGCTGAGCTCGGGGTTCTCTGTCGTGAATTCGATCGATGTGTCATGAACTGTGTTAGACGCGTCGTCTTGTAGCAACGAGATCTCTTCTATCGCGCGATGCCAATGCTGTGATGACATCGCTATTGTGTTGTAGAGTTGTAATGATATCGCTGTTTCCTATGCAAATACATATATATCGGAAAAGTCGGCGATATAGCTTGTTACAAATCTTTCAAAGCCAAAGGAATTACATCACATCAAGAGATCCCTTTAGATGTATTTTTACACGGGCTGGAGGTAAATATCGATAAGAAGTAAATATTTTTCTCGAGTATAATAGACTTTTAGCAGTGGAAGTTTCTTGCAATTTCATTAAATAAAGTTGTTCTTTTCTTCTTTTTTCATTTTCTTCTTCTCATTATCTTTTGTTCCGTTTTATTATACCAAAAGACGATCCTTGGTCTGCTTTTCCTCCGTGAATTTAATTAAATAAGGTCGCCCAATTCTCTTTATTACATCGAGCATGATTTTCATATGAAACAAATAAACTATAATAATCGTGTATCGCATTTTTAATGTTAAATGCGCCACGATAACGCGAGCCATTAGCTTTTACAACCTGCCTCGCAATCTTTGCGCCCGTATTTACCGTGAAACTTGAAAGGGTTCATTTCTGGATATTGAAACCTCTAAATATTTATACGAACGATAAGAGTGTATTAAACGCAATATGAACGATCTTTTTAAATTATGATGAATGCATTTAGGCATGCGATTGAAGTGCACTTAGATGCATCGTGAATAATTCACACGCGAGTCTATCTCACTCATCTCGCTTTCGATGAAATCTTCATCAGGGCGCAGAATTGCCCTTAATTTATTAAGGTCATAAACGTTATTGTATTCTCTGCAGTCCGTGAACTGCCCGTAAAAGCTCCCATGGGATATACGAGGAAGATTTCTCGACGGGTTTGAAGTACAAGGGTGGTTTGAAAAGTCCATGCAAAGAGAAATGGCACCACTGGTGTATATCGAGGTTATTTTCAGTTAGTAGCATCTCTTGGAAGAACATACACCAACTTTCAGCTAGATCGGTCTATTTCTTTGTATTTGGCGTTCGTTTGATTCGAAGAAGTCAAATGATTTCCAAAAAATGGATGAAAGAGAATTTGATCGCAAAATTGAGGGAGTTAAGGTTTCAACTTGTTCCGCATCTCCCCTTCTCCAGATTTGGCTCCCTCGGACTACTACTACTTGTTCCCCGATATGAAGCCTATTTTACAGACTTGGACCAACCCTATTATTCGGAAGGGATCAACAAACTGGAGCAGCGTTGGAAGAAGTGTATAAGCCTAAAAGGAGACTGCATTAAAAAATAAAAAATAAAAAAGGTTTATCCCGAAAAATTAAGTAGTTTTCATTTTTGTACGGACTTTCAAACCACTCTCGTAGTCTCCTCCGAGATATCCTCCGGATATCCATCGATACGCATGCGATTCCGATCGCGGGTTTCTTGTCGCGTTTCCTAGTTTCATAATGCGGCTGAAAGCTCGAAAAGCGCTCGATAACGTAACAATAGATGATGCTCGGGCGAGCAACGTTCGACGATGAGAAACGAGGGCTTCGCTTCTTTTAAAGAGACCTTCTCCGCAGCCTTTTTAGCTTAAAGGGAAAGGATCCTGTTTTTAATCGCTACCGATTAGAGCGAGTACCAAACTGTCAAATATGCCGTCAAGTATTTGTCCTCAACAAATCCAATGTCATCAATAAATTAATTATAAAACAATTGCATACGTATAATGTTGCACGCTATAATTTATCATTAGTATTATTCGATGTAGCGTTACAATCCGCGTCTCATATTTTCGAACATGATATTTTATGCGTGTGGAACATGTGAAATAAACAAGCAATTTCGATATAATTATAATAACGTATAATATAATTGTTGCAGGGGTTGTTAATAGGGGGGCAGCTACCAAATGTAATACTAATAGCAATACATGTATTAAATACGACATTAAATATTGAGAATAATTATATATTGAAAATAAATACTATAATATTATTAAATATATAAAAAGTAATATATAACAGAGCTTCGGCAATAACGGAGTGCACTTTCGATAATAAAGTTTTAAGAGTGATTCGAGTATCTAACTGACAGTTTCTCAAGAGTTTTAGCGCGCGAATCAAATATCGACACCAAAGTTTTTCATGTCGATAACGAATTATTATTATTACTACAGTCAAGACGAATGGATCGAGCGAAATAAATGTTCAAGACTGCTTATCTGTGTTATAAGAGACTGTCTGAAAAGTTAAAATACTCATTTTTATCGCTCAATATTTCCCGAAGTAATTTCCAGATTATTTTCTTAACTTTTCTTATCTCCATTCTCTTATTCACTGTAATATTTAGTCTTAAATACATCGTCTGCGAAAGTTGGATTGATCTCAAAATTTACAGGACGTTAAGTATCTTTAAAAGTTTCAGAATTTAACAGCGAGAAAAAAATTCGGAAAACTTATCAATTCCAAAAATTTAAGCTTACGAAAAATATTTCAAAAATATATTTCAAAATATTTTAAGCTTAAAAGATTTAAGAATTCGTAAATCTTAAAAGTGAAGCATCTTAGTATCTCAGAAACGTAAAGATGTGGATCTAAAGATCAAGCTAAAGGAATTTGAAAGAAGGAAAATAATTGACAATAGAACATACGTCAAGAAACTGATAATATACTTTATACAAAAGTTATATATTTTTTCTCAATATCTTGAAAGATATTGAGAGAAAATGTTAGGAAATACATTTATTCTTATATTTGACGAAACGGTAGAAAACTGCAGGTATAAAGAATTATTTGTGAAAAAACATAGAGGAAATGAAGTAAGTGATTCAATCTACTGTAACATACAGCATAAGAATTTTATTTATTTAATTCCGTACTCGCTCTTTCTTTCTCTTGCTTTTCTCCTCTTTCTAGTTAGTCCTTTAAGATGCTTCCCTTCTGCTTTTCCATCCTTGCGCTTTGCCAACTTTAATGGTACATTGGAGCTGACCTGAAATCAAATTGAATATTTTTCTACGTCAATAAATCCTTTGGTTTTTCTCTCTCTCTGTCCTTCACGACTTTTACCGATCTTCTTTGAACGCTTCTAATCATCGTAAAGTAAGAATTCGAATTTCCATTAATATTTTTCCATAAATTTCTTCGAGATTATACGTTGACACAAAAATTTAATCAAAGTTCAATTTAATTTTCCAAATTTTTACGTATTGTTATATCCATATAATCTATCAAAATTTTACGAAAAAAGAGATATCTTTATCAGGAAAAAATTTAATTATTCGAAATAAAATTCTCCGAAATAAAAGTAAATCTTTGTCTTGTGTGAAAAGCTGATTTAAATAATGGAAACAAGAATACTTAACAATCCAAATGACTTCCACTGCTATTGTCGCGAGGGCGGTTAATAAACGGGTAAATTTTCTAAACAGGTTTCGGGAGGATTTATGTTAAAGAGGAATTACTATCGGATAAATCAGGCTGGGATTTCAAGCTTGCGGGGGGTAGAGCAGAGAAGAAATGAGAAGTAAAGGGACGAGAAATCGGTAGACGAAAAAAAGAAAGCACGCAAGTTACGACTTGGTGCCGTATCAGGTCGGTTTCCCCATTTTTCGCCAATTGAGAATAAATTTCGCGTTTCAGTTAAGGCTTTAATTAAGGGCGCCTCCGTCGGGATTATCCTCGTATAAAATGTGGTTATCTCGATGACATTCGCTCATTAATTTATTACGAGATAATTTGGAGGCACAAATATGATATATAAATGCATATACGTGTATCTCACATTTTGTCTTTATTTTATGTTTTCCGAGCGATATGTTTTGTCATATTTTTGTGATATTTTAACTGTGACATTCGCGCCTCCCGGTCATATATCTTTATCTTGTTTCGGGTGTAGCATATGCGGGTCATAAAATGCAGGTGTCGTCTAAAATGTGAATAGTCGAGTTAGATAAAAGATGAACAATTACGTTAAGTAAAATGTATATAAATATATGAGGAAAGCTGTGCAATATTCTTGCCTCACACCGTAAGTAATATTCTCTTATCTCCTAGCAAATAAGTAACATTTATAACTGTTAGTTGTAATTTCCCACTCAACAATATAATCGTTACATAACATATAACAGTATTGTTGAGTGAGAAATTATGACTAACAGTTATATAACTGTTATTTAGTGTTTGCTGGGCTCTTTCTACATTCTTACTATCTATTGACTGTATAAAAAGAACGCGTGACAATTGGCGAAACAATATATTTTATATAAAAAAGAATTAACTTTATAACCACATTAAATACAGTAAAAAATATAAAATATAAAACATATAAGATATAAAATATAAAATATAAAAATATAAAATAATAAAATATATTGATTACCATCCATACAGCACAGAATATTGCAGCAATATTATTGCAACGTTCTATGCTGTATAGGCATAAATAATTATAATTATTCTAATTTTGTGCATCAGTTTATAATTCGCAGTTAATTATAATTTAAAGGAACCTGAAGAAATTTATTTGTTCCAAGCGGCAACTGTAATTTCTACGTTAACTATTATTCGCAAACCGCCTTAATAAATATTTATGAGACTGCGTGCAATTTCGCGTCTTCGCCGCGATATAACGATAGAGACACGTTGTTTTTAATCTAATCTGGGATGCCTCGTGGCACGTCCGGGAATACGAGATGTTACCGTCTTGCGAGAAATAAAGGAGAAAAGAGGGTAGAAAAAAAAGGATACATTTACGACCGCGCGAAATACCGGAGTTAAAAGTACTCGCTTCCGGTTCGCCTGTATTATATGTGTTATACGAAAGGGGAAACGACGCTACAAACGACATCGATTATCATCCCCGATGCGATACAAGGAAGATTGGGGAAATAACGTTTCTCACGTTTAAGCGCGGATCATGCTCGATAAAACTCAGCAACTTTCTCGCGCGCGCGGGGGAGGAAACACCCCGTGACCGGAGGGAAGAAAAGACGGAAAGGCGAGTAGCAAGTCGGCGGAAAAACAGATACGAGACGAAGCTCGTTTCTTTATCTGCTCAGGACTTGGAGACGATTTTTCGCGGCACCTTATCTCTCTCTCTCTCTTTCTTTTGTATCTTATATATATATTTATACCTTATGGCCTCTAATATCTCTAGTAGTGTGTGCACATATTGCAGTTGGATAAAGTTACGTGCCTCGGAGTCTCGACTCCTATTGTTAGATCTTTGAATTACCAGAATCTTACTCAGTGGATTTGCGGAGTCTGGATGTCTAAATCCTCGGGGATTAACTTCCGGAAATGTTGTCTCAATGAACGGTCGCGAAAGTAGCAATAAATAAGAGATAGTTTCTTTTGAGAGAATTAATTCGGGTACTTTTTCAGAAAAAAGAAGATGCAGCTTCCAAGTTTGTTCTGAAAAGTATCCTCGTGTGAGGAAAGTTTTTTATCAGAATTAACAGCCAAACTATACAGCAAGAATTAATAATAAATTAGATAATTGCGTGTAAACAACTAACATGAGGGAAAGAGAGATTATACTTCCTGAGATTAAGTGGCAGTTTTTTTTTATATTGAATTGTGTTTTGATTTTCCGATCATTATTAATTTAAATGAATAATTATGAAGTAGTAATTAAATTGAATAATAATTAATTGTTCTCAAAATAACAATGGATTCATTGAGAGTCAATGGAATAATAAATGGCATGAATAAAGCACATGTAGACAGTTGGGATACTGTACCGTAATTTCAATATCGATGGCGTGATTAATTTTTTATTTAATATGCCGCAATTAATTTTTGATGTGCTAATAATATGTATCAATTAATTTATACACACACCAATAAGAGCATTAGTACATATTAATTGAGGATGTTGAATTAAAAGTTAATTAATCAGGTATAGTAATTAGATTGCCATTATAGAATACGGATCCTTTAATTAAATTTCGGGGAGGAATAGACTCGACCTATTTAATGGTTTCTCTCTGTTCCAGGATTCCACACCTATAGGTTGAACGAAAGCGTGCACACGGAAAGGGAGGAGGACGAAATCCTGACAGTGAAATACGAGGATGGCAGGTGGTCGAAACCGTATTACGACTGCGGAGGTGGTAATATCTGGATGCTGACCTACACCGTGCCCTTCTTTGGATACGTCAACGACACCTATTTCTTCAAGTAAGCACGAATTCATCGCGTTCTTAAGCCCACGTCATTTAATTACTTTTGTTCACGAATCAGAGGGATGACGACGTGTCGTGATTCTTTTACACTTGATTCGTTTCTACATTTTTACCGTTTATTCCACCTTTTCACATCTATAAGTAAATGTGCCCAATTGTGATTATGTAAAGCATCATGATCGAGTTTATGAATTAAAATATAAGAAAGATTTCCAATACTTAACGTTTTATAAATAAAGTATATAAATAAAATATATAAAATATAAAATATATAATATATATAAATAAAATAATTCTTATATATTATATAAATAAAATATATAAGAATGTGCATTTTTTTATGTGATACATATCAGGTCAAATGTAATGAATAATTTCAAATCCCCATTAATCGGATTTTGTCAGCTCTATTGTCGAAATATTACGGAGATCATCCATCAATCTCTACTCTTTTTATATATAGAAAAATTGGACGTAAATGAGAATTTATGAGGACGAGTTGTAATGTCAAGTGCTACTGGCTATTGTAAACGCACTACTCGCAAATTAAGAACTTGCGTCGTACTATCATTTTCGTTTTGAGATTGGAATCTAAAGGTCTTTGAGTAGAAAAATCCCCCCAAGGAATGCATGCGAACCTTAGAATAAAAAGTTTCAAGAATTCTAAAGATCTGAAAACCCACATATCAAAGCTTTCGAGGAGAGATTGGAGATTCCAGACGTATTTTATAGATACTGAATTCCCGTATTTTGCATGAAAATGTACAACGTCGAATTTTTTTAGCAACTTTTTTTTTATACCAAGACTAAAAGACTAACAATCTGCAGGATTCATTTAACGGTAGAACCGCTTAAATTACATTGTACAATGAAGGGTGTAATTAATTGTAATAACGGTAATTAACATTTCTCTTTGTTAATTCGATAATTTGGGAATTTATTTTCCAAATTACTCTTTTCTTAACGGAACAATTCGCGTTTTAGCTTCATTGTTAAAGTAATTCTTTCGATTGTTATTGCTTTTCTCGTGCAATTTGCAACCGTCCGTTTTGCACAGGTCCAATGTCAATTTGATCGTAATTACGACGTAAATTTGATCAACGGATTGGCAGGCACTGCCTGCGTAATGAAATGCCGGTATCGCCGCGATATAAAAGGAAAAAACAATATCAGGGATCGCGTATATCCACAATGAATTTTTTTAATGACGCTATTAATTTAAGAATCGGATAATAATCAGTTACGTTGTTCGATGCTCCACTTTACCACAAAAATTACAAAGATATCATTTTCCAAGCGCATTTTATAATGGTGACGTCTTTCGTTAATGAATTTAAAAGGAGGGGAAAAAAAGATAAGATAAATGAAGAAAATCCGACGCGATATCCGATATTTTTAAACGTAATAAGTTCTCGAGGGGGATCGCACGATATACAGGTTGTCCCTAATTAACGATATATCGATTAACTTACCAGTTTTTTTATCAAGATTTTTTAAAATCGATATTTTCTCGAAAAATGTATTTTAAAAAACATTTTGTTTCCTTCAAAATATTGTTCAAGTGGTTTTCTTAAACTTTATCACGGAATCGAAATTAACGTACGTTGTATATAAATTATATATTTTGTTAGCTAATAAACGTATGTGATCTATATAGTTTGATATAAAAATAAGAAAATTTACATCCAACGAGAAAGCATCATAGTCATAAAGACAACATTTTTTATGAAAATTGTTATAGAAAGAGAAAATACGGAGGAGACTGGTCAATAAAATTATTTTATCTACTCTGATATTTATCCACTTTATATATTATTTATTATATATATATATATATATATATATATATATATATATAGGTATATTTTATTCAATCCCATTATATTATTTATTATATATACGTATATTTTATTCAATTAGCAATAATACTTTCAGAAACAATATTTTTTACTAAATCTGTTTGTTATTATGTTTATTATTCTGATGTTCGCGAAGTATTGTACTTATAGTTGATAAAGAAGTAGAGAAGCTTACATCTCTCTTTCTTTTCTCGTAGGAAAGCCCGCTTTTCTGAAGAAAAGCGCCTTACATACGTATCGTCTGTCCGTTCAATATCGCAAAATTCTTTATCTTCAGATATAAGGTGAAATTATGATAACATTATTATAACAAATTGAATTTGCAATCAATCGCATTTTAAATTTCCAGGAGCGATGTTAACTTTATACAACAAATGTGCCATATATAAATCCTATAAGAATCTTAAAATATTGACGAGAAAATATACGAGAATTATACTATGAATAATTAGTTTTTACTAAAAAGAAAAGTTTAAATACATATAACTGAAATAATCTTATTTTTTAATAATAAGGTAAATTAGAAAAATTAAGTAACATAATTCAAGAAATATTATTTGCTCTTTCTCTCTCTCTCTCTCTTTGTACTTTACATATTTGCGCGTGACGTCAATATAAGTGTTCGTTTATTTATAGTGAATATTTATAATATTTTTTATGCAAATCTTATATCTATTTCTATTTGAAAAAATATACGTTTACAATTTATTTATTTAATTTTTATTGAATTACGTTTATAATGTATAATATAATTGTTATATAATTATTATATTTATAATATATATTTCAAAATTTTAAAACAATGTTCTAATAATCATATCAATTATATTTATATTATATAATTATATAATAAACATAATTGATTAAATTATTAGAATATTTTAAATGTTTCGAAAAATTACATCATCACATGTATAGGTAGTTAATACACATGCATAGGTAATTAATATAAACGGAGAAATAGGCATTTAAAATCATGGTTATTGACGGCAAACATTTATACGGCAGAAGAGTTACGTCATTTCGTGACACACAGCATGCGAGAAGTTCGCGATCATGTTTGCCTTTGAGAATCGGCGAAACTGAAGGCGGCAAGAGCAGAGAGCACAAAAGGCGCACATCATGGCATAGCGGTCGTATTATGCAGCCGCCCTAATGATAGCCTGTCCTGTACGCGTCCTTACTTGTGCTCGTGGGGGTGGCAACAAGTGAGCGGGGGTGGACGGGCCACGGGAAAGTTACACTAAAGTTATCAACTCACCCGCGGACCTTGTCGATATTAGCAGCGAAGTTGCTTGCCGACAAACTGTCGCGCAACTAACGCGAATTTTCCGAAGATCCATCGACCGGTCGACGCGGAAATCATCCCCATCGCTCTCTTTCCGAGCTCCTCCGGAATCGTTCAACTTCGTCGAATTATAAGGACTTCTTGCGCGTGTGAATATGAAAATAGTTGAAATATCCGATGGAAGAAAATCCCGGCGGTTTCGCATTCTTCCTTGAAAATGAGATTCTCAGTAGCGGAACATTTTCGCGTGAGGGATATGACGGTGCCTTCTTATCAGGAGTGAAACTTTGTCGATTTGTTATTCGAGAGGAGCAGATATTTGATCGAACGTACGCGCCATTCTTGTTAAATTGATTTTTAAATTATCGCGAATTTATGCGAAAATTTGGAAACATTGTTTGCAGCCAATTCTTTGAAAAATCAAATTTTCTAAAATCAGATTTTCTATAAAATAAATTTCAAAATAAAAATCAAATTTTCTATAAAATAAATTTCATTGAATAATGAGAATTTAAAATTAATAATAATTAAAATTAGCAATAATATTAAAAAGAAATTAATATTAACAATTTACGTACTTGTATAATATTTCTACACTTGGCTATATATATTTTATATAGTATGATTATAATAAATTTATTTTTTTTCAAAGAAATATCTTAATTAACTCTTAGACAAAAAGAGGTGTGAAAAAAACTAATTGTGAGAAACAGCATGAAAATTACAGAATGATTCAAATGTCATTCAAAGAATGTTTTCCCAATTTTTTTATTTTTTAAAATAAATTTATAAATAAATTTTAAATATTTTAAAATTATAATAATTATAATTATAATAAATTTTAAATATTTTAAAATTATAAATAAATTTTAATTTTTAATTTTAATCATCGACGATTAAAATTAAAAATGCTTGGCGAATTTTTAATTATGCTTTAATATATATTTTTTTAAACGTAATTATGTATCAAATTATTTTATATTGCAATATTAAAAGCTACGATTCCCAATTAAATTTTAATAAAAGAAAATTGAAATGTATTTTCGACAGGACACACATCGTCCTGTGCTCACACGCAATTTGTCCAACTGCGTATAAAGCGGAATTAAATGTTTACATGGTAAATTATTAATTACCTTGCATTATATCAAAGGACTGGGCGACATCTTCTATGATTACTTTTCCTTTGATTCTCCGAACAAAGGATATGACTAACGATGTTTCGGGATAACTATAATACTTTGTTGTGATCGTAAATGAAGTACGGGGTTCCTTGTTTTATATGTTGATGTTTCATCCGTCAGTGTTTTCTTTTGACAAACTTTAGATGAAATCATAATGGCTGCCAATATCACGATTATCAGCAAAATATTCACAAGAAATCTCATTTTCGATGAGCGACGCCGCCGGTTTTTTAAATAATAAAAAAATTGGAAAATTGAAGCTTATAAATATCATTTATTTGTATTTTTTTAATAGTCCTTTTTTTTAATTATTTAATTTTCATTATTAAAATCTTCTTAATATCTTCTCTCTTTGTCACATACAGGAAAAAAATTATTTCATTTGAGATTTTACTTGCTCGATATTTTTGTCAAACACTTCATTTTAATTTGTTTTAATTATTTTAAATTTTATCATCTTTATTTCCGTTCGATCACTGATTTAATTCTAACAAATAAATAAACTCTGCAATCTCTCCACTGAGGACTTATCGTTTATATCCTTTCGATTACGTAAGCGAAATGAAAAAAAAAACTGGTTATTAATAAATTTATGAAATTTTACGAACACATTTGAAGAATTACGGCTGCGTTATACAGATTTACTTATTTACTTATTTTAATTACCAAACCTTGACTGACCAATTACCATATGTTATGAGATGCTTGATAGATATGATCATGTTTTTATGACAGATAAAATTCATACGTAAATAAAATGTAATAAATAAATAAACATTCCCATTTGCAGGTTACATTTGAATATAAAGACGAAAATTAAAATAAAATTTGTACAGATAAATAAATGATAAAGTCATATATATTAGATTTGATATATATTAGACAACTATTATCTTATATTTTTTACAATTATCTAATTTACCTTCTTTGCGTGCTAAAGTATTTTTCGACATTTTCCATAGGTATCTTTCTTTTGACCCTCTTTACAATCCGATTGTGAAGGTTCCACATCTTTATCCAGAACATATAAAATACTATATGGAATTACTTCAAGCACGAAACCTTTATCCGACATTTCATTTGAAGATGTTTCATTTGAAGATGTTTCATTTGAAGATGTTTCATTTATCAATGTCTCATTCATTGACGTTTCCTCTTGACAAGATTCAGGTGGAATTACAATTGTCACTAATATCACAATTTTCAATAAAATGTTTACGTGAAACTTCATTTTTTAACAATGCTTCAGAACTCGCGATGCTTCAAATAATATAAGCGTTAAAAAATTCAAGTTCAAATATCGCTATTTCTATTTTTCACTTATTTTTTTCCTGTTAATTTCAAATTTTATTAATTTTCTCGCATTTATTTAAACGTTTTACTTGCTCGAAATTTTGTTAATTATTTTTTTTCTAATTTCTTTTCACTTTTTCTTTATAGATACACAGTTTTAACTTTGATTGATTCAAGTAAGTAGCGAATGCAATTCTGTAATCTGTTCGTTGCGAGCTTATTATTTATATTCCTCAGATTATATAAGTATAATGAAAAAATAAATTAATCATGTTTTATGATTACTTCTAAAGAAACTACGACTATTAGAAGTAATAATCATTACTTAGTTATTCAGATAATAATGTGTTTTGATGGGACGTGTGAAGTATATAAGAGATAGAATTATATATAAGATGAATAAACATTACAGGTAATAAGATGAATAAACATTACAGGTAAATATGATAAAGAAAAAAATGTATTAGTAGATACAATAAAAATATTGTACATCTGTAAATAGATACGATTATTTGAATTGCATATTTTTTATTTGAATTACCTTGCATTGCTAATGAGCTATAGGATTTCGCGACATTTTCCATGATGATTTCGTTGGCCTTCTGGACAAACGATTCTATTCTGTACAACAATGATTGATTTAGGAGCCGAAATTATACTCTTCGGTATCTCTGTAGTTTGAGACGACGATATCTCTGTGCTTTCTTGACATGCTCCAAGTAGAATTATATTGACCACAAATATCACACTTAATAAAATCTTGATGAAAAGTTTCATTTTCGAGCGATATTGCCAAGTTTGGGAAACAATAAAAACATTAAAAGATCAAAATTCAAGTATTTTTCCCTATTTCACGTCTTGTCTAATTATTTCAAATTTTGTCTTGTATTGAAATATTTCAGTTACGCGAAATTTTATTCGTCGAATGTAACTCTTTTATTTCCCCGAGATTTTTCAATTTTGACTCTACTCAGTTCCAGCATATAAACGTACTTTGCAATCTATTCATTGCGGGAACTATTATTTATATCCTCCCGGTTACATAAATGTAGTAAGAAAAAAAACACACTCTTACTCAATCATTTCGAAGAAACAATATTATGCATTTAATTATTCATAAGGCAATTATAAGAATCCTGATACACGCTGTAAGATGCTAAAAATATAGGATTATGTCTCTATGAATGATAGATGGAATCCATCATAGGTATAATAACAACGCAAACAAAATATATAATAAATAAGTTAATGTTATATTCAAAGAAAAATAATTATAAGCAAATAGAAATAAAAATACAATAGACTTATATCTATTCTATCGTTGATTGGATGCAAGTTTATTTCTCAATTTTTTATATTTTAATAATATTAATGTATCTCTTATATTTTTAATAATTATCTTGCTTTTTTAAATAACTTAAATGATTAATCTTCTTAATGATTTTTGATGATGTTGAGCTTTCAGTGTAGATATTTAATGAATTATATTTCTATGATATTTAATGAAATTATAAACGTCTATGTTTTTTCTATATTTTTTTAACATTGTCTAGGAATCATGACCATTTATATTATAACTGTTAGCAGAATAATTTTTTTTATCTTTTATATTTTATATTTCCGAAATTTTTTTGTCAAAATTTTTCCTTACTTGTAGCTTCTTTTTAATTTCTTTGAATTCCTATAATATTTTTTCTTTTGATTCACAAATTTGTTTGATAGATTCCAATAAAATGAAGCCTGCAATTTGCATTATAGGTAATGATGTCTATATGTTTCCGATTGCGGCTTCCTAAGCCTTTCGTTGTTGAAAGACAAAACTGATTTATTAACGATTCTATTCTCACCGTTTCTGAGAAACTGTATTTGCTGTAAAGATTTATATACGCTATTTACATACAATAAATATTAATCTTTGAAAAGTCAAGAGAAGCTCAAAATGCAATACTACGCTTTTGAAAAAATGCTCGTAATGTGATTTGTAAAATCGATTCATTCATTTCCTAATTTCAAGTTTCAAGCAGAATTACAATGATCGTCATTATTATCGGTATAATGTTCATGGATACTATTAAGCGAAAGATGAAATCTCGCGGTCATTTTTATAAAATCTGAAGGTTATGATCGTCATAAAAATGTGATTCGATATATGTGTGCAATTATACTAATGTTTGCATGTTAAAAAATATTTTTGCAGAATAAGATTAATGCATAAACGCTTTCGCGGAATGATTGATCTAAAGATATAAATAATCTTGTATCGCATGCGATTTCATGTATTTAAAATTAAATATGATAATCTCATCGCATATTGATAGACATAAAGATTCCGTGATATGACTATTATAAAGCAATTATATATAATAATATTTTTATTAAACATTATTTACGTATATTTAGCGAGTAAGATTAAAAATAAATGACAATAATAAATTTTGGTTAAAAGAATGATTAATTTATTGATTAATTCGGTAGACTTCTAAGACAATGTTTGACATATTAAAACAAAGATATATTTATATTTTCTTACTTGCATATATGTAAGACACTTTTTGAATTTTTAAAATTGCCAACATTTTTTCTCGAATCTGTAAACATAAATTAATTATACAAAATTAATTATAAATAAATACAAGAAAGAAGGAGAGAGAAAGAAACAGAGAAAGAGAGAGTAATAAATTATAATTCAATTTTTAATAATATTCTTAATAATATTCTTAATATTGAAAAGCTCTGAAATTTAGTTCTAGTTTATTTTATATGTGTATTATATTATACATAATACATGTGAATTTTAGAGAAGAAAATGCTAGTTTTGTATTTAATAAATATTGATATGCAATATTAAAACATATCTTATTAAAACAATTTACGCTACTTTACACACACACACACACACACACACACACACATGTAATATAATAAAATGTTTAAAAAAATTCCATAAGCAAATCATGATTTTAAAAAAAGTGCATTTAAGAAGAAGAGACAAAATAATTGAGATTAAACAATTCTATTCTTAATAATCTCAGCAATTAAAATTAGTCTTTATAATATAATAAAATAACAATTCATACACAATATGCGCATATATATGCTTCTTGTGATATTTTTGTTAAATTCTTCTATGAATTTTTTTAAATTACTTCAAATTTTATCGCCTTTGTTTCCGTTCACTGGTTCGGTTGTTCGATTTTAGCAAATAAATAAACTTTGCAATCTCTTCGCTACAGGCCTATTAATTATATCCTTTCGATTACGTAAATAAAATAAAAAAGAAACTGGTTAACAAATTTTGTTTCAAATTTTACGAACACATTTGAAGAGACTACGATTGTGTGATACAGATTTACTTATTTACATATATTAATTACAAACTTTGATGTGCTATGAGATACTTGAAAGATATGATCATGTTTTTATGACATATAAAATTCATCGTAAATAAAATATAATGAATAAACATTCACATTCGCGAAACGATTACATTTGAATATAAATATGAAAATAAAATTGGCATAGATATATGAAATATATGATAAAAATAGCTCATATATAAATTAAACTTGATATTGAGAATGCAGCTATTACCTCATATATTTTATCTTATGTTTTTTGCATGTTAGAGTATTGCTCGACATTTTCCATAGTGATCTTTTTTCTGACCCTGCTCACAAGGTTCCACATTTTTATCCGGAACATATATGATACTATATTGAATAATTTTAGACAAGGGACCGCTTTCATTTATCGACGTTTTATTTGTAGATGTTTCGTTTGTAGATGTTTCATCTGTCAATGTCTCATCCATTGACGTTTGCTCTTGACAAGTGTCACGTGGAATTACAATTGTCACCAATATAACAATTTTTAATAAAATGTTTACGTGAAACTTCATTTTTTGACAATGTTTCAGAACTTGTGATGCTTTAACTAATACAAACTTTGGAAAATTGAAGTCCAAATATTACTGTTCCTCTTTTTCAATTATTTTTTTCCTATTTATATTTCAAATTTTATTAATTTTCTTTCATTTATTTAAACGTTTTACTTGCTCGAAATTTTGTTAGTTATTTGTTTTTTAATTTCTTTGAATTTTTACTCTTTCTTTAAAGATTCACTGTTTTCGATCTTGATTCATTCTAATAAGTAGCAAATGCAACTGTGGGATCTGTTCGTTTGCAAACTAATCCTTTATATTCTTTCGATTACGTAAGTGCAATAAAAAAATTAAAAAAAATTTCATGGCTACTTCTAAAGAAACTACGACTATTATAAAAAGTCATTACTTAGTTAATCAGATAATAATTATGTCTTTTGACGTGATGTATTTTTGATGATGTATGAAGTATGTGAGAGATAGAAGGAAAATGCGATTCGTAATGTGAATAAAATGAATAAACATGACTTGTAAATTCAACTGAAGAAAAAATGTATAGTAAAAATATGGTAAATTCGTAACAATTCTGTAAATTTCCTAGAGATACGATTATTTGCATATTTTTAACAATTACTTTTCATTGCTAATGTGCTATAAGATTTGACGACATTTTTTCTATGATGATCTATTCGCTGACCTTCTGGACAAAAAGCGATTCTATCCGGTACTTCGATAATTCTCCTTGAAGACGAAATTTCAGACCACGGTATCTCTGTGCTTTCTTGACATGCTCCAAGTAGAATTATATTGACCACAAATATCGTACTTAAAAGAAATCTCGACGAGACATTTCATTTCCGAGCGATATCGCAAAATTTGCGAAACAATAAAAACGTTGAAAGATCGAAATTTAAGTATTTGTTTCTGTTTGTCAATCGCCTTTTCTAATTATTTCAAATTTTGTCTTGTATTTAAATATTTCCTTCACACGAATTTTTATTCATCGAATTTTCTTATTTTTCCGATTTTTTTTCGATTTTGACTACTAAGTTCTAGCATATAAATGTACTTTGTAATCTATTCATTACGGGAACTATCATTTATATTCTTTTGATTACATAAATGTAGTGAAAAAATAATACAATCTTACAATCATTTCCAAGAAACGAGGAATTAAATCTCTAATTATTTATAAAGCAATTGATGTTAACTTGGCTGCGCGTGTAAGATGCTATAAAGAAAAGAAAATTAGGATTATGTCATTATGAATGATAGATGGAATCCAGGATAGATGTAATATCGCAAACAAAATGTAATAAACGAATGTTATGTTTACTATAAAAAATATTTATATATTATATTTAAAGAAAAATAGATATTTAAAAAAAAATAGATATAAGTAGATAGAAATAAAAATATGATAAGGCTTATATCTATTCTACGTTGATTGGATAATTTGAGAAATAAATATAATTTATAAATTTGAGAAATAAATAAATATAAATATAATTTATTTCTCAAAATTATATTTTTAACAATTATTTTGCACTTTTAAATGACTTGACATCTTTCTGATCTTTTTATTGATTTTCTGGTATAATTAAAATATATATTAAATTTATAAATATGCATTTTTCTCTATTTCTCTATATTCTTTTGACATTTTCTAAGTGGAAATCATAATGTCGCTTATATCAACAGACATCAATAGAATCTCAATGAAAAGCTTTATTTTCTAATTTTCGCAAAGCTGAAGAAACAATAAAAATATTGAAAAATCGATTAAAAAATATCATTTGTTCTTATTTTTCAATCTGTTATTTTTTCTAATTATTTTCAAGTACTCGCAATTTCTTCCAATATTTAGATATTTCCATTTCTGAAATTTTTGTCAATTTTTACTTATTTGTTGCTCCTTATTAATTTCCTATAAAATCCCATAATGTTTTTTCTCGACAAATTTGTCTATTAAATTCCAAAGTCTGTAATTTGCATCCGTCAAGAGTAATATTCTTCCAATATGCCTTTCGTTGCGAAGACAAAACTGATTTATTAACAAATCATTACTTATCATTAGTTATTCAGATAATAATTAAGTCACTTTTGATGTTATGTATGAGGTATGTGAAAGATAGAATTAGGAGGAAAATGCGATTTTTAATGTGAGTTAGACTATGAATAAATTATATATAAATACGAATAAAGGAAAAAATATATCGACAGATAGAGTAAAAATATAGTAGACATTAGAGGTACGATTATTTGAATTGCATATTTTTGATAATTACTTTGCATTGCTAATGTGCTATTTGTCGACATTTTCCATAATGATCTATTCGTTGACCTTTTGGACAAAAAGTCCAGATAAAATCGCTTTTATTCTGTACATTGATGAAGGCTGGGACTGAGGCTGGAGCTGGAATCGGCCTTCTAGCCCACGATATTTCTATGGTTTCTTGACACGCTCCAAGTAGAATAATATTAACGACAAATCATATTTAACAGAACGAGAAGTTTCATTTTCGAGCGGTATCGCAAAGCTTGAAAAACAATAAAAACATTGAAAGATCGAAATCTAAGTATTTGTATCTATTTTTCAATCGCCTTTTCTAATAATTTTAAATTTTCTTGTATTTAAATATTTTCCTTACGTAAAACTTTATTCGTTGAATGTAGGTTTTTTATTTCTCCGAGTTTTTTTCGATTTTGACTATTCAGTTCTAGCATATAAAGATACTTTGCAATCTATATATTGCGGGAGCTATCATTTATATTCTTTCGATTGCATAAATATAGTAGAAAAAATAACACAATCTTCGAATCATTTCGAAGAAACGTGAAATTATGCCTTTAATTATTTATAAAGCAATTATATGAATCCTGATACACGCTATAAAGTAAAATAATAGGATTATGTCTCTATGAATGATAGATGGAATCCATGATAGGTGTAATAACGCAAACAAATATGATAAATAAACGAGCGTTATATTTAAAGAAAATAAATATAAGTAGATGGAAATAAAACTATGATAGGCTTATATCTTTCCTATATTGATTGGATACGAATTTATCTCTTAAATTGTATTTTAAATAATTATTTTGCACTTTCAAATGTCTTGACATCTTCCTGATTTTTTCGTTGATTTTCTGGTACAACTAAGATATTTATTAAAATTATAAATATTTTTTTCTATATATTTTAACATTTTCTAAGTAGAAATCATAATGGTCGCTAACAATATCAGCAGAATCTTTTCGAAAGGTTTTATTTTTGACCAATTTTTACAAAACTGAAGAAACAATAAAAGATTGGAAGATCGATTCAAATGTATCATTTATTCCTATCCTTCAAGCCGTCATTTTGTCTGATTATCTTAAAAATTTTCGAAATTTGTTCTAATATTATATATTATAGATATTTCCTTTTTCAAATTTTTTGTCAATTTTTTCCAATTCGTTGTTTCTTATTAATTTCTTCGAATTCCTGTAATATTTTTTCTCTCGATTCACAAATTTGTTTGATAGATTCCAATTTGAAAATAATGTTTGCAATTTGCGTCCATCATGAATAACGTTTATATTCTTCCGATTGCGTAAGCCTTTTATTGTGAAGATAAAATTGGTTTATTAACGATTCTATTACTGCTTCTGAGAAACTATGTTTGCTAAAAGATTAATATACGCTATTTACATACAATAAATATTAATCTTGTTATGCCAAGAGATACTTAAAACGCAACTATGCCTCGTTAGAAAGATGCTTGCAACATGATTTGTAAGGTCGATGTTTCATTCACTTCCTGACAAGTTCTAAAATTACATTATCATTATTATCCCCAATATCATTATCATCGATACAATGTTCATGTATAATCTCAAATGGTATCGCAAAAGATGAAATCTCTCTCGTGGTTTTTTTCTATTAAATCTGATGATTTTGACGTCACATAAAAATGATTCTTTATATATATGTACACAATCATATCAATGTTTAGATTAGAAAATATTATTGCAGAATAAGATTAATATGACAAGAGATACATACATGTAATGCATAAACATTCGCTTTCGCAGAATGATTGTATCTAGATATATAAATAATCTCGTATTGCATATGATTTCGCGCATTTAAAATTAGATATGATTACATCGCATATTGATAAAAATAATATAAAAATGTCGTAATATAAATATTATATATCAGCTGTATATAATAATATTTCCATTAAATTACATTAATTATGTATTAGCGACTAAAATTAAAAATAAATGACTATAATAAATTTTGGATTAAAAGAATGATTAATTTAGTGATTAATTCGATGAATTTCTGAGACAGTATTTGACATATTAGAGCAAAAACTTATATTAACTTATTTCTATAGTACTTCACATGAATTTTTAAAATTGCCAGTGTGTTTTCTCGAATCTGTAAATATAAAATTAATTGTAAATAAATGCAGGAAAGAGAGAGAGAGAGAAATTACAATTCAATTTGTAATATTCTTAATACTGAGAAGCTTAAGAATTTAGTTGTAGTATATTTTATATATTATTATATATATTATACATAATATATACGAATTTTAGAGAATAAAAATGTGTTAGTTTTGTATTTTTTAAATATATTAAAAGGTTTTATAAATATATTAATATTGATAGGTTATATGAAAGCATATCTTATTAAAACAATTTACGTTATTTTGTACAGACACACAATACACCATAAAATCATATTAATATAATTTTTTTTAAATTTTCGTAAGTAAAATATAATATAAAAGAGATTTAGAATAAGTGAAAAAAACAATTGAGATAATTAAACGATTCTATCTGTAATAACCTCAGTAATTAAAATTAGCCTCAATAATATAATAACAACAATTTACGTATCCTCAATGTGCGTTTATATATACCTCTTGCAGTTTTACATTTACATTATGACATATATTAATTAATATAAATTCGTTATCATGAAACTATTATTTCTAATAATTATAATTTCTAATAATTAACTACGATTAATTTAAATTTAAATATAATTATATTTATATATAAATTATATATATATATATAAAATTATATTTAAATTGATAATTACTTGCGTGTATCACTCGCCATTATAACGTCTTGCGACATACTCCATGAGAATTTTTTCTCTGGCCCGGCGGACAGGGAGTCCTTTCAGGAACATTTATGATATGAGGGGTGGTTTTGTATTTAGGAGTTGTGGTGTTAATATGCGTTTTAGGAGTTGTGGATGTATTTGATTCTCCTGATAGTATCATGATGCTCATTATTAGTACGATTCCAAAGAGAACAGTAAGGAATACCTTCATCGTGATCAGAAAATTTGACTATTCTTCACGATTCTCGTAAAACTATAAAATTAAGTAAACATTAATAAATATTATTTGCCTATTTGTTTTCAATTTTTTTGAAAAACTAGTTTAATAAATATATAAATATTCCATATTTTTATAAATATCTTTTCTTATTTTTTTACTTATATTTTTTGTTCTTTTCTGGATTTAAACTTACTATGACATTTACACAAGTTCTCCTTATAAGATCCCATCCTCTATTTCATTTTTTTTAATCTATTTCTTTTAATCTATTTTATTTTTAATTTGATTTTTATTCTTCTTATTTTTACTTTTCTAAAATATTTTTTTTAAATATTACTCTTTTATTGCCACGTTTAAATTTACTACAATTCTTTCTGCATCTTTTATAAACTGATACCTTATTATTGACGTACCTTTTCCTTTCAGGATACAAACACATACTACCATCTTGTTGCTACGCATTTACTATTTATAGTCTGCTCTCTTGATTATATATGCGAATTTCATTATTATTGTTTGAAACCGGTTGTAAGGTAAAGTTCTGTTATCCTTCTTTACGCCTCAGCTTATAATATTTAAGATATTTAACGAATGTGGAACAAATTATTATTCATTCGTATATATTCCATTAACTTTAAATAAATATAAATTTTTTTATCTTTTTTTATAAATAAAAATTTTTTTATAAATTGTAAATTTTTATAAATTCTATCCTTATTTTTTACAATTATTTATTCTTTTCCGTATTTAAATTTATTACGACGTTTACACAACTTTTCTTTAAGGCTATGAACAATATGAAAATTATAATTTAAAAAACAATTATATATATTTAGAAAAAATATTTTTTACGAAATATTTATGATAAAAATATTTTTTAGACGAATGATTCAATCTTATTAAAAATTTGAAAATAAAATTTTTAAACTCTGTGTGCTTCTTTATTTTGACAATGTTAAAGTTATTTTAAGAGCAGTTTATTTTCGCCTATTTTTCTCCAGCGCATTTCTCGGGTTTCAAAAGATTTATCGCTACTCACGTGATGTACATAAAGTAAGTGTGATTTCAAGTAATCGCGGAGAAAAGTTTGCAGCAATCTTAGGCAAATAGATACAAAACGCAAGCAACGTAAAAGAACAAGCATATATAAATAATATGGCACTGAGTGTTAAAAATAATATTTATTAATATATAGCAAGTTAAAGAATATTATAAAAGGCGAGATTAAAGAAGAAACAAATAGAAAATTACATAAATATACACATGATACACAAATGATACATACATAATTCAATTTAAAAGAAACATAAATTGTATTAATATGCAGAATATTAATACATGAAATATTTCTATCATTTTTTATCGCGATTACAGCTACGATGGAATATCTGCATCGCCACTAAATTTTCGCTAAAAGCTGATGTTCAAATATTTGCAAGAAAACGTGTCATCTCTCAAAAGAAATATGTTGCAGTTGAATATGTAAATTTTTAGAGAGAGAGAGAGCTTGCAGATATTTTAAGAATAAAATTATGCTTCGAATAGAGACGATTGTAATAATGAGATATTGTTTTCGTAAATTATGATTTAAAAAATGTAGATATCTTCTTATCAATTATCATATTTCATATTCTCTTTTTTTCTTTCTCTCACATTTATTATATTCTCTTCACAAGAAATAAAAACCTTGAAAATAAGTGCATAATGGGATTGATATAATATTAACAATAAATAACGTCATTTTTACAATGCATAAATATTAAAATAAACAATTTCTGAAAAATATGAATTTTTTAAGAGATTAAATTGACTTATTTGATTTATTCGGAAAATCTATGCAATAATCATTGTAATATTAATATAAACTAATATTTATTTCTTCTATAAGCTACTATACTATTTCATATTTTAAAAATTAATCAATCGTATTGGTTATTACTTGATCATTTTTGAGTTAGTAAAAATTTTTATAAAATATTTTTGAGTAAACAAAATAAGCGTAAAAAAGCGGAGCAGAAAAGATATACGAGCTACAAATTTCAAAATCTAATGGCATATTTTAAAGTAATCAATCATCATTATCATCTACATATCATACTTCAAAGATTTTTTCAAGTAAATTCCATCAAAAAGTAATATAGTTAACATTAATAATTCAGAGAACGTTAGAAGAGGACACAAGATGATACACAAGATAAACATGATAGACAAGATAAACGACATGAAAATATACAACTTTAATTGATTGAACGTTAACATTTACTATCTACTGTCCCAGCTACTGAAGTTAGTTTTTATGCAACATGCGCGTAAATAATCTTTCTGATCATCGCTATTCCACGTTTGAATTATGAGTTATTAATCTTAATCATGATAAAAGCATTACGGCAGTAATTAGTAGTAATGTGCAAAAATTTTAAATGTATAAGAAACTGATAATTTTACTTGCGTATTTTTGTCATAATGGATATTGTCCGCGAGCATCTTTTTTCTACCCAAATGGGTAGAGTCTCGAAAGCATTGTTAAAATAGACTCGTGATGCTGAAACTGATGGAAAGGCCATTTGATTGGATCAGTAGAAGTGCTTTCTGTAGTAGTTTCAACGATTTCAGCAATAGTAGATGCGATGATCCTATGTTCAAAGATCCCCAATGGTATCAAAATAATTGCCATTAACACGATTATCAGGAAAATAATAAGAAATATCTTCATGATACTGTAAAAAGGAAGAACTCTCTGCGATGAAAAAGATGAAAAACAAACATTCAATCTCAAATATAAGTTGTATTGAGTTTCTCATGTTCTCTTTCGCAATTTTGAATTAAATTTAATTATGTAAATTTCTGATTCCTTTAGTTTTTCATTGTACAAATATAACGTTATGCAAATTACATTTTAAATAATATTTTAAATTAAATAATATTTTAAATTAAATAATATTTAAGTAATAATAATATTAATTCAATAATTAATAATCATATTAATTAAATAATAATATTTAATTTTATTTTCATAATTATATTTTAATTATTCTACACAGTTGTTATAATATTCATACATATTTCCTCGACAGATTTTTTATTTTTAGCACTTTTTGATTCTCCGTAATAATGTAGTATTTTTCATTTTTTAAAATAGTCTTTATAATCTTTTCGCGCGATTTATAATTTTTAACTTTTCTTACCTTTTTGTAAATTCGGATTTTCTGCACGCTTGATTGCTTCGAGAGCTAAATATACATTGCCAGTTCGTTACCTTGAATTTGCTATTTATAATCTGTGTTTTATCGTGATATGCAAATTTATTTATCTTTATAAAACCAGTTTACTAAACCGGTTTAGTAAACTGATATATATTTTTTTTAATAAACTACATATGGATATAGTATTTAATAAAATAAGAATTAAAGTCATATAATTCATATAATTTTTATAATTATTGTATAATTTGATTTGCATATATATATTTCGAAATGTTTAAATTGCTTTTTTATTTGTTTATCATTAGAAAATAATTATACAAAATGCTAATCGCATCAAAGGAAAATAATTTCTTTTCAAAATTAAAATCAAATTAATTTTTCAATTCTATTGAACAATCTATAAAATAAAATTGACATTAGTATGAAAGTTGATTTATGTGTTATTAATTTGTATTTCTTAAATTAATTCATTATTTTTACTGTATCAAGGGTTTTAAGAATCACCAAATTTTTAACGTTTGCAAATAATCATAAAATAGTCAAAATAATCATAGATTATTTTTAAAAGATTAAAATTTCTAATAGAAAAACAAACGATGTAAAATTACATTTAATAGTTCGAATCAATTACTTACATATAATTTTTTATAACTTACATAATAATTTTTTTAACATATATAATAATTTCAATTTGTATTGATTGTTAAATAATAAATATTACTTGCATGTTTTTACCACTAAGGCATTTCCATTTTTTGATCTGAGGCAAGAAAACCTTGTGAAAAAATCTGACTTGGGAAGAAAACACCCAGAATAAAAGTATATTGATGGCAAAATAGTGGATCAGTTTCAACGGTAGTATATTCGGTTGCAATGGTATCATGTCTGCAATAGTATATTCAGCTATATTATATTATAGTATATTCAGTTATATCAGTTTCTATGGGTAATATATTCGATACTATGGTTTATATATTATCATAACCGCTTAATATTAATATGATCAAGAAAATATTAAAAAATATCTTCATTGCGTTAGAAGAGAATTTTCTTTACGATCTAAAAGAAACGAAATTAAATCAGTTTTCCCGGATATTCTATAAACTTCTTATTTCTTAACTGTTGAATATGACTGTTTATGATGAACTTTCAAGTTTTCTTGTTTGGTGATCTCTGCAAATAAACACAAATGATTTTAATAAACATATATGATTTTTCTACCCAGTATCAACTGTTTGTATGATTCATTTAATATCTCATAATTATGTAAGTTATTATTATGGAAAGACCGGCATATCAAATTTTTCTCATGTAATTTCTTGTAAACTTATTTGTTTTAAACAAGCAAGAAATTAAAATGTCTAACATACGAGATGGTAGCTAAATAAATAATTATAATATCCCAATTAAAAGTTAAGTAAATAATTTTCTTGATTCTCTTGATTTCTTTATATTTCGGAATGCCTAAATTATTTCTTACTTATTGTTAGAATATAATTATACTGAGTATTTTAATAGAATTAAGATATAGTGATAAATTCGGTCTAAAGATTGAGTTAATTTATAGCAAGAAAATTTAATTTATTTTTTGTAAAGTATTATTTTGTTCATAATTCTCTAAAAAAAATTCCCTTGAAAAATTACTTTCGTCGTTTTCTCATTGATATATTAAGCAATTCTTGAAATAGTGAGTTTAATCTCATGATATATTGATGATTATATTGATGAGTTTGCAACTAATAATAGCTAATTCGAGATGATCTTGTTTTTCTGGTATAATAATTATACAACTGTAAACAAATACAAAAATCAGCACATCTCTCTCTCTCTCTCTCTCTCTCTCTCTCTTTCTCGCAGTTTTATATACATATATATGAATATTATAATTTATTATCTTTAATTTAACACGATAAAAACTTGATGTTTTATCTATCGTCATTAAGAATAAAACACAGAATTTTAAATTATCTGTACGTATCTTTATTATTATAAAAACATGCGACATACTTTATTGCGATTGTAATGTTGAATTACTATTCCCTCTTCTCCAGGTTTGCAGTTTCCCGATGATATCACAATAGTCATTGCAATCATCAGAAAAACATTAAGGAACATTTTCATGTGCTGCAAAAATAATCTTCATGCATTCTACGGAATATAAAATTAATCTGGAAAAGGGAATTTGTGTTCAAAATGTTTTATTTTTTTCAAAATTCTAGAATAAATCTTATTCTAAGGTCTTTTCTCTCTTTAATTCTTTTCTGTATTCTTTTTGATGTGTTGTAAATTCTTACAT